AATTGGTTTCCCTTTTCTTTGTTGAAGAGCGTCTGTGCAGTCCTTCTACCTAGTCCTCCATCTTGCCGGAACTCCTATCTTTTAGTTTTTATGTGCCAAAAATATCTTAAATTTTTATATGCCTTTTTCTTATTTAAAATGAAATCGATTGATTAATAAGCTGTTTTTACAAAGTGGGTTGTAATTAAACTTAATGCAGAGACCAGCAAGTGTATCTGATAGTGGTGGTACTGGGCTGTTAAAATAGAAAATTTGGATAATAAAAATCATTCTTAGCTCACATCAACATAATTGTTTAACTGTTGCTCTTTTCAGAGTATCAAAACATTTTTATCCTTAACAATACTGTTCCACATTAATAATTTAAGTACACTTTTCAATGTTGATAAATACCATTTATTCTGTTCTGACTCCATACCAACCACATGCTAAGTACTTCTCATGCACTATTTTATTTAATCCAAGCACTAACATTATGATATAGGTATCATCTCTTTGTTACAGATAAGAATACAGGAACATAGAGCTTAACTTACCCAAGATTTGTTGGTGTTGTTATGTGCCGTCAAGTTGGACCTGACTCATAGTGACCCCTCCTTGGGTTTCTGAGGCAGTATCGCTACGGAAGTAGATTGCCTTCCTTCCAAGGAGTGGCTGGTGGATTTGAACCACCAGCCTTCTGGTTAGCAGTCAAGTGCCTTAGGCAAGATTACACAGGCAGTAATAGAAGAGTTGGGGTTCAACTCCAAATTTACCATCAGCAACCACAATAGTCTGCATCCTCAGCTAGTTTACTCCAGTAGTCAGATCATTTCATATTGGATTGGAGGCAAAAATCTTTCCTAGGAGGAAAAATATGGCAATTCCTTTTGTTCTAAACAAATTCCTTACATCTTTTAGTCTCTAACCCATAGCTTATATATGTCAGAGTGAAAAAACTGCATATTAGCATTTTAAATGTTTGCTAATCATCTCTGTACTTTAGATTTGTGTTAATCCAGATTAGCCACAAGTATCTAGCTTTGGCTTTAAATGGATTAATAAGTGACTAAACTAATGACTCAAGTTCAAAATAAGAGTTTTTTTTTTTTTTGGATCTAGTCTATTGATATTGCACCTCAGTACATAGGTGAATATGGGCTGATAGTGGTAGACTGAGAGAGAAGTTTTTGAAACTATGCCCATCAAGGTGCAATTTTAGACAGACCTAGCTCATGTCCTAGGAGTGCTGGTGGCTCAGTGCTTAAGGCATTTGACTGCTAACCAGAAAGCTGGCAGTTCAAACCCACTTGCCACTCCTCGGAAGGAAGGTTTGGCAATCTACTTCTGTAGTGATACTGTCTCAGAAACCCAAGGAGGGGTTGCTATGAGTTGGATCTGACTCGATGGCAGTGTGTTGCATTGCGTTTGTTTAGCTCATGTGCTAGTAGAAAGAACATTATCCTTAGGATATACCCAAAATAGAGGGCAGTTCTGTCACAGCATCTAAAATATGCAGTCAAATTACCAGCTTATGCCAGTCTGTAATCTAAAGCACAATAAAGGGAAGTCTGTGGATCATCTCGGAATTCTTAGCTGTATGAAAACAGACAATTTGTATCTATCAAGTCTGCAGCAGGATCCTTGGGCATTAAGAGGAACACTGTTAGGAAGAATGTAGGGTATTAAGTAGATTAACAGGAATTTGGGCTTGCAGAACATCCAAGGCTTAATTAGCAAAATTGCGTACAAGGTGGGAACTAGATAGTAGAAACAAGGCAGAAAACCATCTTTTTCAGGGTTGGGATACAGAGAGAGACTAGCAAGGGGGATTAGATACTGATTCTCCTAGAGTAGGGTTAATTCCTAAAAATGATTTGACAGTGCCCTTTATAGGACGGGGTAGAACTGCTCCATAGGGTTTCCAAGGCAGACTGCAACATCTTTCTCCCATGGAGTGGCTGGTGGATTTGAACTGCCAACTTTTCAGTGAGCAACCGAGAGCTTTAACCACTGCACCACCAGGGCTATAGAACTCTTAAAATCATTCCTACCTTGAATTAGGATTGGTCTAAGAAGCTAGACTTGACTAGGAGCTAGACTAGAATGGCCAGACTTTGTCTTACCTACTTTGATCATGCTGTCAGAAGGGACCATTCTCTGGAGAAGGATATCATGCTTGGTAAAGTGGAGGGTCAGCAAAAAAGGAAGAAGGCCCTCAACAAGGTGGATTGACACAGTGGCTGTAATGATGGGCTCAGGTATAGCAAGGATCACCAGGCTGGCACAAGACCAAGACAGTGTTTTGTTCTACTGTACATAGGGTTGCTTGAGTTGGAGACGACTCAATGGCACCTAACAACAAGCTAATGAAGTGAAGTCTTCCATTTGTGGTCATATGGCCTCTTCTGTGGGAGCTCCGATGGCATAGTGCCTAAGGTATTTGACTTCTAACCAGAAGGCTGGCGGTTCAAACCCACCAGCCACTCCTCCGAAGGAAGACTGGGCAATCTACTTCTGTAGAGATACACCTCAGAAACCCAAGGAAGGAAGGGTCACTATGAGTTGGAATCACCTCATTGGCAGTGAGGTTTGGTTTGGTTTTTGGATGGGGATAGAGAGTTTTAGAAGCTAGAGAAGCAGGTGGGGCCTAGCACTTGACTCAAAAGATGCTTTTGAAAAGGTTCTGACTTTTTTGAATTGGGATTTAGTTCTGTACTCTTTACTCCAACTCTGGCTAGAATCCTAGGACTGATCCATGAAGATAGCTCATTCAGCATACTGATTGACATCCCATTTCTTAACTTTCTATAAGAATACAGTATTCTCCACCCGTTACTTCCAATCTGGTTTAGCCATCAACTCTGTCACACTATGAATTTTATCCTTGTTCCAAATTAGCAACTTAAAACTTTAATATCCTGCTTTCTGACCTTGTGCTCAGAGCCCTCTTAACTACATTTTTTCTTCATATGCTGTTTGAGCTCACAAAGATTTCCAGTTCCTTGATTCTTTCAGTTTTTCCTGGTCTATCAGTCTCCTTTCTCTTCCTGTGTGAGCTGCATTACTGATCATCTGAAAGACTCTTCTATATTATATTGCTTTGTGACCTTCTGTCTCTCAGTGTAATGAGAGCAAAAGTACATTGCAAATTATATATCCCTTAAATTTGGATATTTTTGCTTGTAAAATATTTTGAATTTTACTACTAACATTTTATTTGTTAGATCAGGCCTACAAGATAATAATTTATAATTTTTATGGTTCAAAACATGGATAAGGTTCTTGTGTATCATAAAATTACACAAAAGAATTATAAGTAATTAAATGCCAACTTATAAATTATACTTCAAAAATTAAGTAACTAGAGATGGAAAAATATTCCTATACACTCTTCAGATTACCCTGTACATTCTTTTGATGGACGAAAACGGATGATCTTGAGCACCATTTCATGGATGGGAGGAAAAAATCCATTTTTGGGGATTGCTTACATCACTATTGGATCCATCTCGTTCCTTCTGGGAGTTGTACTGCTAGTAATTAATCATAAATATAGAAACAGTAGTAATACTGCTGACATTACCATTTAATTTTATATTCTGAAACAAATCTACTGCATGTGCATCAAGGCCAGTCCTATTCAACCTAGCTTTCGAATGCTAATGTTCGGTTAGTATGTCATTTTTGAAGTTGGCACATAACTTTTTTAAATACAGTCTTTTCTTGTGCTTCTTCCCTATGGATGACTTATGAAAATATGTGACAGGTATAAAACAAATTAGCTATATTGATTATATCAACACTGTAACTACTGAAATGGCATTCTAATCTTGCTTTTTGTTGGGACAGGCCATGTGATGCATAGACCCCTTTTCATGTGAAATACATTTACTGCTTAAATGTTTATGCTATGTTGATAATATTATATTGACGTATGATGCTGTATATGTGTGCTTATTGTGTGAAGAAAGGGATTGCAAAATGTATGAATATAATGACTTGCTGTCCTTTCAGGATTCAGAGTTACAGAAGGATGAAGAAAGACCAATCTAAATAAAACAATTCATCATTCTCATGTGTCATGTGTAAAGGCTTAAAGTACCATCTTTGTAGAGGTGGTTCATATATTCAATTTATCCAGTAGAGTTCTTTGTCAGGCTTCATGTTTACTGTGTCTAGCATAGAAATTAATTGTCATGTTCAGGTAGGTTTTAGGTGGGAGAATTTAAAATTCCTCTTTCTATTTGGTTAAGTTGTTGCAATCAGGAACTCCAGCTCACTTGAAATGTTTTTACGTGTGATCATTTCCCTTGAAGTTTATACTTTCATAAGGGAAGAAAGAATATAGGTGAGATGGGCAAAGTGCTTGGCAGACCTTCGTCTTCTGCCTCAATTATAAAACAAATGTAAATTCTCAAAGGAGAAGTTTTCATTCTTGTGGTATTTAACAGTTAGAAGTGTGCTTTAGCATTGGAAATACCTCAAGCTATTTTAATTTTACAGATAAGTGTTTTGACTTAAGTACTAATATTCTAGAAAATTTTAAACATCCACCTTAATTTTCTCTGTATTTTCTTCAACTTTTGCATATAGGTCAAAGATGGATGTGTATGCATATTTTTTTTTTAGTTAAGATACCAATTGATTTGATTGGCTTTCCTAAGACATACTTTAAAAAGAAGTTCTTGAAGTTTTCATAATTAAATTCTGGGGATTTTGGAGTATGTATATGATAAATTACAATATATGGTTGAAGTTATTTTCTACCAACTTGAATTATTTTAATATTCCTTATTGAATAAATGCTGTAATTTGTTTGCTATGGTACTTATTCTTGAAGCAAATATAAACTAAATATTTTCATATGCATGAAAATGTATGATTTAATCAGAGATGACTTAATTGCATTGAAATTCACTTTCTTTATTCAAATAACTTATGTGTTTGTGTAGAAGAATGCTGTTTATTCAGAATTTGTAATGGTTTCCTTCAGTTATATTTTAAATCAAAAGGTCTGGGTAATGTATCTGTTTTGATTACTATATGCTTTTTTTTTTTAAAAAAAACGAAACAAAACAAAAAAGAATGTAATGCTTAGTAGTAAAAATGTGCCACACTTCTTAAGTTTTGTATAAAATATGAACTTCAGTTAAAAGAACTTGTAGTTCATAAAGACTTTTAACTGGTAAGAATATTACTTGCATGATGTCCTTGATGTATGATTATCTGGAAATTTCCGGGTACATAGGGTGTTTTTTTGTCTAAAAATATTGTTTTGTGAGTCCTTCAGAAAATTGTTATTTATTTTGAAAATTGTTCCTTTTGCACATGGCAATTTATTTTATGAAATACATTATTGGGACAAGGGAGTTCTTTTGCCAGCCCTTCCAGATTGAGTTTGTGCTGTAAAGAGGACTGCCATCCTGCATGTCATTTTCTGATGGGTGACCAAAGGTGCTGCTAAAGAAAAATTGAAGAGTCCTTCTAACACTTTCTCATCTGTGGTGAAGACAGAATCTTAAAATATATTTGGAGTTTTATCTATTTTACAAGTACATTGATGGCCTAAGAGCCTCCTTGTCTCCTGCCATTTAAGCTCTAAGGGATTCCTATTGCCTAAAAAGAAAATGAAACATTCATATGGCCTCTGTGAAGCATGAGGGGGTGGAAAATTCTTCTTTCTTACAGGCTTTATGTTAATCTTTTGGCAACACTGATGGTATATTCAACTTTTAAAAATTAAATTGCATTTTAAGATAGTTAGCTTAAGTAAATGGCATTCAAAAATGCATTAATTTGCAGCAGGTATTTTGACACACAAAGTTTCCCAATTGAAAAAATTATGCAATAAGTAAAAGCTAATAAATTTCATTGAAATTATAAGGTAGCTTAAAAATAATTTGGTAAAAATAACTCTGTACTACCTACTAGAGGAGGACTCTTCCAAGAGGAGAGTCAAGTGGAATATTATTTATCAGTTAGTGACAGTGTTTATTTGTAACTCTGATCATATTAAAAGATAACTTTTCTGTATGTTCTGTATTAATAAAAATAAAACTAATTTTGCCATGTTCAGGTGTCTTGCTAAAGTAATATAATCTCAGTGTTGTTGCTAATATTTACTACTAAATTTTATTCCAAGGTCACTGAATCCAGAATTTAGTATCTCCAAGCCTAGACTTCATGAAATGTCATTCACTGTTAAAAATTAATTGCTATAATTGTACCTATTAATCATTCACACAACATTATCCACAAGATTTATTTGTATTACTGAGAAACATCTTTTCTTAACCAGGAAGTGGTCAGATTGCTATGTGGGTTATAGACAGCCTAGCTAAGTTTGATACCAGATCAAGGGAAATATCTGTTAAGTAGAAAATGAAAACCTGGTGGACAGGTGAGGGTGGTGAAAATAATGAAAGGGGCACACAGGAAATGGAAAGCCTGTCTAGGAAGGAGAAGCAGTTTAGAAGGTAGGATTAATGAATGCTGTTCAGCCTGCTACTTCCTTCTTCATGCCTTAGAATTATTGCATGGTAGTATTTTATTGGTTAAGCTGTAAAGTTTTGTTCTTTGTGAACATGGTTATGTGGAGGAGTGGATGAAAGATACAGGAATGTTATTAGTGCTACTGATGGAAGAAGAATTTTGATGTGTAAGTGTCTTGCAGTTTTGGATCCTCTGGTAAAGGGCTTTAGAACTCTTTTTTAATCTATGTCCCATTCAGTAAACATAAAAACCACATTTCCTTTAATAGCATTTGAAATTTGAGAATAAATATTGTGTCCCAAAACAAATCAGATCATGGTAACCTTATTTGCTTTTATATATATATATATATATACACACACACACACACACACAAAATATACAAGCAGTGTATATTTTGTAAATATGACATTGCCTTTTATATCATTTTATTTTTTTAACACTTGTGTAACTTTCTATAAACCCACCTTAAAATTTTTCCTACTTCTCTATCAGGTCTACCTTGTTCCCATCACTAGTTGTGAAGGGATTTTGTCCTCAAATACTCTGATTCCATTTTTACTAGAGAGAGATATTCTGCAGTTGTCCTCTGTGCCAATCTGTACTAGGTCTTTCCTTGGCCTGCTACACACCTATTATCCTGTGGCTTCCCTTTGCCACCCTCCTGTGTTCATAAGGCTATTTTCTAGTTTATGCTCTTGTTTACTAGAGTACCTCCTAAAACACAGTTTCCTAAGAAGTGGTAATGAGAGGTAAATTTTTTGAGTCCTTACACATCTAAGATGCCTTTATTATATCCTCTATTCACTGATAATTTGACTATGCGTGAAATTTTAAGTTAAAAATTATTTTCTCAAAAAGTTTTTGAAAGCTCTTTCTGTTGCTTTTGAGAAGTAGGATCCCATCTCAGTCAGGTGATAGTCCTCCTAGATTGATGCTAATTTTCTTTCTTTAGTTCACATGGAGATTTCTTCAATTTTATCCTCCAACATTATCTTCCTTCTATTCATTTTTAAATAACTTATATTTTAATTACAAAGATGACTTTCATTTCTGTTCTGTTTTTTGATTAATCTTTAGTTCATACCAACCAAACCAAACTCACTGCTGTCCTGTCGGTCCTTACTCATAGTGACCCCTCCTTGGGTTTCCAAGGCAGTATCTCTACAGCTGGTGGGTTTATTTTTCTGATGATACATATGAATGATATATATTTTTTCTCTTATTTCCTGCTCTGTTCACACCAGGATTTTTTTATTGTTGTTGCTTTTAGTTTTTCACTCTTGTTTATGTAGGTGATTTCTCTGTACTTCTGGCTAGTCTTAGCATTCTGTCATACATGCTCTGTGTTCGTGGGCAGTACATGACAAGTGGTTAGCTACTCTAACATAGTGTTGCTCAAAAATGCCACTAAGTGAGTTATTGGTACCTACTTCATGATAAAATTCCTAGAGAAGTAATAAATAGTTGAAAGATCAGCATCTACAAATGGAACATGTTTTGAGAAACATCGTGCCAGAGAATGATTGGCAGGCAACCAGTTCTTTGGAGCCCATTTCTTTGGGGCTGTTCAGTTTCTCCAAGGAAGAATGCTTCAGTCTTCTGTGGAATGGAGGGAGTTTAACAGGGTACTGTTTCTTGATGCTTTTAACTCTGCTTCTGCCTTGTTCTCCACCTTACCTCCTGAATTCCTCTTCCCATTTGTTTCTCTATACCTTTTCATCTATATATCCCTTCCACCTATTGCTCTCTCATTTAATTTCTCAGGATAAAAACTCTCTGTTCTTCTACTTGTAACAGTGATGAAGGTGAGAGATAGTATTTGTTTGAGAAGGGTAGGGCAGGGATCTTGAGTTTCTCACCTTTCAGGTGTTGTATATGACCTTCAACCTAACATTTTCAGGCCTGTCCCTTGGCTCACTCTTTTCTGGTAACTTTTACTTTTCAAGTTTTGAACTTCTCAGAGGGTGTGAGGCTAGCTCACTCCTCACTGGTTCTTGGGGTTCCTTTAGAATGCAGCTTCTGTGATCTAAAATTATATTCAACAAAGTCATATTCCATATTCTGTCTTCCAGCAATTTGTTTGAATCATTTGATC